GGTCGTGTTGCGTGTTGCGGTCCGTCTATGGCCAGCGTATTAGTGAAACTAGTGTAGTGTAGTGAATATAGTTGGAAGTGCGGTAACTCGGACGCACGATCATAGTGCATAGCAAGACTGTTAATGAACATTATGTTAGTATGGATTGTAATAAATATAAAAAAAATGTTTTATATATTGTACTACACAGTAACTATTACCCGTACTATATATAGTAGAGATCATATTTTTACAAACCCTTTATTCAATTTGTTTTTATTACGATCCTTAACTATAAATAAACTGAGGCTGTCCAGCCACCCATTGTTATGAGTTATGACTTATGATCAGGCACGATGCGATGTATGACATATGTGCGTTCAAGGCTGTTATTCAATCGTAATTCGCACTGATATGCATTAACGCCGGAGGCAATACATTACAACTATTGGATTGTGATTCAATTATCTATTGAAATAAATATTTAACTTAATATGCGCTCATATTACACGAAACAATAACAAAATTTATAATTATTATACTTACTAATATCTATGGTTAATTTGTTTGATTAAGTATAAATACATATATAATATCACTGGCTACCTAAAAGCAGGTAAGTTACATTGTATAGATAAATTTACGAGCCCCGATGCAAAATAGTTCGTCTAGTATGGAAAGTAGTTCAAAGCGTGAAATATATAAAGAATTGGTAAAAAAATTAAGAACGTTTACTAAAAAGTAAACCACAATTTGAGGAACATTTTAAAATTTATTTTAACATAACTGAAATTCTTTCATGGCGTTACATAACATAAAAAATTAAAAAAAAGTATCTGAAAAACATAACGCAAAAGTATTCGTCTACCCTTGTCACTCACGCAAAATAGTTAGCCTACCACTTAGTTGTGTCGCCTTTGCTCTCAATGACAACTTTAATGCGAAAATGCATGGTTGCAACCAACGCTGCACACTCCTCAGGCGTAATTGACTCCCAGACTTTAGCCAAGAGTTAAGCCTTTAAATCGCTCTTCGATTTTGATGGATTTTTACGGAGAACTTTTTCATTTTCCACCATAGGGTTTCGATCGGTGACAAGTCCAGGCCATTCGATTGTAGGGATGCTTTTCGCCAGTAGCCACGTCTTTCTTGTCGTTGCAGTATGGCAGGAAGCACCATCCTGTTGAAAAATGAAGGAATCTTGATGACGGAATAGAGGGCAGTAAATTCTCTTCCAAAAGGTTTTGATACCGTGCAGCATTGATAGAACCATGTACAAACTGCACACCACCAACATCTTGTGCAGACATGCAGTCCCATATCATAAGAGACACCGGAAACTTCACTTTGCGTTTGAGACAATCAGTATTAAATGCCTCATTTTTGTTTCGAATCACTTTTTGCCTTTCATCGCCGACTGCCACTTCAAATGATACTACGCCACTGATCGGAAGTTCAATTTAAATGATCACGAGCAAACTTCAACCTCTTTTTCTTTTGTACAGCAATCAACAGAGGTTTCTCCTTAGCGGTGTAAAATCCGTAACCCATTCTTTTTAGGACACTTTTGCAAGTATCAACTGAGACATCTTTGTGAATCATGTCCTTCCATTGCACCGTGAGTTCTCCAGCTCGAGCACGATTATTTTTGATAATTTTCTTCAGGATTCTGTTTTCCACTGCACTTGTGATGCGTGGTCGACCAGTTTTCTTCAAACAAGAAGTCATTCTATTCTTTTTATAGTGCTGAATGATAGATGGGATCTGGGAAGTATCAAACGACAAATAACAAATTTTGACGATGTGAACAATGCTCTGTCTTCGATTGTCCATTGGTTTAGTATGAATAACCTTCTACTTAATGCAAAAAAGACAAAATGCATTAAATTTTGTGCAAAAAATGCAAGGGTTATGGATACTAGACCAATTATAAACGGTGAGGAATTGAATCTGGATGATACAACTGTATTTCTCGGAATCACCATGGATTCAAAACTTCAGTGGTCCCCTCATATTAACGGATTGGCGAAGAGACTTAGTTCTGCAGCCTACGCGGTTTATAAAAATTCGCTCACTAACTGATGTCGATACAGCTAGACTTGTTTATTTTAGTTACTTTCATAGCTTAATGACTTATGGCTTATTATTATGGGGTCATGCTGCTGATGTCGAAACTATTTTCATCCTGCAGAAGAGGGCTATTCGTGCAATCTATAATTTAAAATGTAGGGAATCTCTTAGAGATAAATTCAAGGAAATTAATATACTTACCTTTCCCTCGCAATATATTTATGAAAATATTATGTATGTATACAAAAATAGTGATAAGTTTACTAGAATAGAACATACGCACAATGTTAATACACGGAACAAACGCAGGCTGCAATTTCCCCGTACTAGACTATCTAAAGTTAGTAATTCTTTTTTTGGGGAAAGGGATACTCTTCTTTAATAAAATCCCAGAGGCTCTTTTATCACTGCCTTTCAATAAATTTAAGAAATGTATTAAAGAAAAGCTGTGTAAAAAAGGCTTACTATAAAGTCAACGATTATCTAGTTGATAAAAGGGCCTGGGACTAGTGCTAGACAGGCTACTTCTAATCAATTTGCGATATTTGTTTTAAATAAGTGTTGTTTGATGATTTGCTGTTTTAAAAGAGTACCGAGAGTTTTTTACGCCGACTTTTTCTCTCGGCCTACACCCTCTGTCTTCTTTGCCGATGAGTAGGGATGCCTTCAAATTTAATGACGTGGAATAAGTGATACATGTATCTTATGTTCCATAATAAACATATTTTATTTTTATTTTTATTTTTTATTTTTATCAAGTCTTTAGATATTTGGTATCTTGATTTTCCAGCATCAATCTCACAAACTATTCGCTTTCGAAACTCTTCACACACGGGTTTGCCACAACCCATTGTTATTTGAAAACTAATGAAAAAAAGCTGAAATTTTCGTTTACCCTAATTCATAATAAAAATTAAATCAGACTAATTGCACTGTTTCAACTAAAGTACTCATTTATCTCTATTAATCACAATGTAAACACATTTTTTTATTAATAAGGGGAATAGTATTTGATTGTAAATTTGTGATTTCGATTAATTGTTCTCTTGTTGTTCTTATGCTGTATTCAAAAACATGACTTATTATTTGGCAAAAACAAAAAGAATCTTATTACAGGAAAAACAATACTTAATATGTACTGATAAAAATTAAGAGTGGTTTCATCATCATAATTTTTATGTGAGACCATACCATTATTAGCCACCGTGACTTAAGGTGATGTATGTCTTTATTGCTTAGCATACTGTTTAATATAAACATACTGTATTGTGAGAATGCAATTGTATGCAAATGGACTGGTTACTTACAAGTTTGTGGTATTCCAATTTGTATCTCAGATCACAAACTGAAGAAAAAGAAACTGTTTAACAGCTCTAGACAACAAAACTGATTAAATATGGATTTTATATCTAAGAAATATGCAGTTCTTAAATGGTCAATTTTACATTTTTTTTTACTTCTAAGAAAGGTCATGGTTTCATGTGGCTCAGTAATTTCCTTGATCCTTAGATAGAATTACTTTTTTATAACAATTTACTGTTATTTGGCATTTGAAATAAGTAATTTGTGAAAAACCAATTAATTTTTTTTTAAATGTATACAGTTCAGTGTGACCTTATTACTACTATCTTATCACATGATAATGTATGTTATATCTTCTGATATGTATTAGTTACTGAATGGAACCGCAAAATATGATTGTACAAAAATCAATGAAATGGAAATAAATTTTTATCAATTATTATATTAATAATTACAAGGCCACAAAGCAGCTTGTGACAAGGTGTCGGAGAATGGCAACCTTGCTGGCCTGCACCCTCAGGGTATCTCAGTTCAAAGGTCTTATGCTGCAATGGTAAAATCAATGGGTCTACACTCTTAGAGAATTTAGGTTAGTTGATTCACCTCCTTATTTTTAAGACTAAGTAGAAATAATGAAATAAGTTTTCAGCAGACTATCCACTAAACGCCCATCCTCATACACCAAGTCACATTCTATAATTTGCAATAGTCCTACATTGGTTTCAGACCACCTAGAGCTATAATTTAGTCCAGCCATGACACTGTTCACAGAAAAAGAGGTGATCATTCCCATGCCTTTAGGCAGTTTACTGAACCATGATGTTATGCTGTCTTTATTGTTTTCTCAGGAACATAGTACCTACGGAATAACCTAACATCAAAAGATAAGTAAATATTTAAAAGGTTAAACAAGGAAATTCCATGTTTGGTGGCTGTAATTATGAAGACAAGAAAATACGCAAAGCAATCTTAGAAGGTTAGAGGCCTTCTAAAATATTATATATATGCATAACAAATAAAAATCGCTTTGCAAATGTGTCAAGCCACTGCTTGCGCCAGCATTATGTATATATATATTATATATATTCAGTCAAGTAGAAGGTGAGAATTAATTTCTTTATTGCAATAAATTAATCATAAGCAGGCATGAACATAGCTGTGAGTGTTGCTGAGAGCTTTGTTCTTGGGCAAATTAAACTATCAGCTACAAAAAAATCCCAAGTGTGCAAGTTGGTGATTACTTACAAGCAAGTCACAGCACAGCACAACAAGCAGCAAACTTTTCCTTAAAACCTTTTTTATTAAGTTAAATTGTAATTAGTTGTATCATAGTTGTATATTAAGTAATAATAGTTAGTAGTAATCCAGTTTAAAGATAGGTTGATTTCTAAACAAAGACATTTGTGATGAAATACATGTCAATTAAGGAAATGGTAAAACCTCAACATCCCTATTGGAGTGATTGTGTTACCTTATTTGTTTATTTGAACACGTTATTCAAGCAAGTACAAAAATTATAGTCTCTAAGTGCCGTTTTCATATTTTGCTCATTATGTACAGTAAATTTTGAATAGTAATACAATAAGATCACTTAAATACTCAATTTTTTTAAAGACCGGTTCAAAATTAAATCTTTAATAATGACTCACCACTATGTTCAGTGAATATATTTGAGCCAAGTATACGGGGATCCTTTGGCACACGGGGCTTATTCCGTGTTGATCGAATAGAGGCGCCGCTCGCAGAACCGCGTTCTTTTGCCTGCTGGGCCCCCATCGTGGCTGTTGGGAGCCACGACCCTCACACCGAAGCCCGTTCGCAACACTCGCTCTAGACACTTTAATTCAATAACTAACGGCAATTATAGCGCAACTTATATATAAAACACATTATGAATATTGAGTTAAAATATTATAAATGGTCGCGGTAATTACAGTCTCATAGGTAACACACAAATATCAGACGTCCGAATTCAAACATATTCTAAAAAACATTACCGGATACAATCACTGATACAAATAACACTACCACCGCCATTATGTGTAACTGACATCAATTTGACGTCGATTATTGTTTTTAAGAGAATCCAATAGAGGCAGCACCATATCGCTAACCATAGAGTATATTAATATATCATCACAGATTCAGTCTTGTTAGCTGTTATGTTTGACAGCTATCATCTGAGTAAAGAGGTGTGCTCATTGCTCAGTGCTTATTTAATAAATGAAGTGGCTATGGCCACGTGACATGAAAAAACATGTAAAAAAAGCATGTAGTTAATACATTGTCTTTAACTTAAAATAGGTTTTATAGATTATTATGAATGACCTCGTGGATAACGTTTATGTTTATAGACTTATGTTTTAACATAACAGCATTTCGCATTTCCTTGTTGAAATTAATGCGATGTTTTCAATCCATGGTCAAAGGTATAAAAAATCCGTATTTTGCGTTCATATCTGAAACGGTGAGGACGATAGTAACATAGATAAAAAAAGTCGTATGTCATGTATATATATATATATAAATCCACGAATAAAGTATCTACCTTTATCCCAAATAAACCGTTTATGACAACGCGCTTTCATCGTAAAAGTCGTTTATGTTTTCAATTATATTTAGTGCGAAAACTAACTCTAAGTTATCCTTTATACATACAGGTTATTGTGATAGTTACAGCTAACATACTTAATACAAAATATATGTCCTATTTGTTTTCCCACGAAAATATTTCCTCAAAACCTTCGTTTACTTAAAATATTTGTGAAAACGATTATTTGACCTTATTCCTCAATCCTGGTTGTATAAAATATTTTTATTTGTCTACTCTGAAGCGCAAAAAAATATTTGATCACTGTAATCAGATTCTTATCGCATTGATTATATCTCAAACGCCAAATCACACACAACCACTTATTGTCCTTGAAATTGGTAAGTACAGGGAGATTCTAAAGATATTTTGGAAAGTCAAAAAAGATGGGATTGTGGAACGTTGGACTTATTTTAGATGCTTAATCTCGATTAAAAGAAGTGACTAACGAACACGTAAGACACAGTAACGAAAAGTAGAAAGAAAACGAAAGATACATGTTCCCAACATAATAATTGTCAAGTTACTATCTTACTTAAAGGCGAACTTAATCAATTAAACATACTTTCCATCAAAAATCCTCCAGAATGTTAAAAAAATAAAATTAACCAATAGCCTCGCGTGTTAAATATTTAGGATTTCCATGTATTCTTTTAACAAACATTTATTATTATTAAAAATGTAATTATAATAAAGGTAAAAAAGAATCCGTTAAAGGAACACGGCCACAGGGCCCAAACTTTTAAATTTGTTTTGATTTTCATTTTAATTATTTTTAATTATTTCTATTATTAGGTACTTTGTAGGTTAAGAAATTTGTAAATATTATAATAATATCAATTGGGATATTTTCTTGTCCAACAATGTTTGGCCAAAAATACCTTTATTTATATTAATAAGCAATATTCTCTTTCGATTTTCTGTAGCCTTTTGTCTATACATAATAGACACTTATTATATCTGTGAAATCTTTGAGAACGACATGACATTTACAAACTTGCACTGGGATCTATGGCTCGAACTGGAAATGACATCTGAAGTAAGCGGGAAATCTAAGTGTCATAGGAATTTTAAATTAAATCATTTTCATTTATTTTTGAGTGCTTTATTTATTCTGGAATAATACGTTGTACATTAGTTACAGGTATAGAAACGTTTTTCTTTTTGATACATGAATAATGTATTTCACTATTATTGAAAACGCCAAATGCCGATTTAGCCGAAACTTCTGACATCTTTATTATTTATTTATGTCTAATATCACAACTTAATCATCTAATAAAAAAAGTAGATTTAGAGAAAGGTATAAATTTCGTTGGTAACAGTTTCGAATTTCGTCGCACGAATTTGATGATACTGATTAAGCAGGAGGCTCAGTATTTTTAAAAAAATACTTAGACGCGTTTCCGGTAGCAAAAATCACTTGGAGGTGTTCCAATGAAAGTCCCCTGCATAATCAGTATCATCAAATTCGTGCGACGACATTTAAAACCCAACCCATTTCGTTTCCAACTGGCTTCAAAACAATTTGCTTAGTCTAAATCTCAGCAAAACCAAATTTATGTGTTTCATCATAACATATCACTTGGGAAAAGCACATTGATACACAGCCTTCTAGGATCAGAAAGCTTATGTATATCTTTAATCGACTGAAACGAGTACGTAGTTATTAGAATTTTTTTTTAGCACTTTGTCAGTTCTTTCTAATGTACTGATTACAATATGTTTTCTGAATTACTTAAAATATATAAACCAAAGAATGATTTCTTGCTTTTATTTATCGCCCTTTTCAAATAATTTATCGCGATATGAGTGTTTCAAATTAGGTAGGCCTTATTTGTATAACTTACCTTATATTGAAATCACTAACCGTCTTTTCAAACAGTCAGTTTAGGAAAATCTTTGCTCACATATGACATATGACTAATATCTTGCTCACTCACTATAATGATTGCGGTCACAATTTTTTTTAAATAAAGTAAATAAATGATCTAGGATTTAAATTAAGGATTGGTTTATACTACTCTTAAGTGTTAGGTAGTAATTGTGGTCAGGCGCTTAGTAATGACAAAATTTTAATTGCTTTATATTCTTAATAGGTACAAACTAGATTAGAAATAAAAAGCAAGTTGATGTTTATTTTTATTTTACTTAAATCGACAATCATACACATATTTAAATACAGAAACAACACAAATTGATATAAATTCAATTATTTATTTCATACAGTAGCTATTCAGCAAATTAAGCATAGGATCCTAGTTTAATTAAGAATTATGTATTCACTTGAAATAATACATATTAAGCTAATAATATACTTAACAGAAGCTAATTTATAACAGTGCTTCATTATATTACTACATAAAAATGTCATATTTATCATAAAGTAGATTTACAATTATTCAATTTTATTGTTGCGCGATACCTACTCGTCGACAGCCTATCGCGAGCGGCGACTTGCTTGCTATAGCACTTAGTCAACATTCCGAGTGGAAACTTAGCGCGAAGATAAAACTAATATGTCTTTATCATACTTAGCACTACGTCTCGACGCTGAATCGGAGGTTTAGCAGCTTAAGCGAGACAAACGGGGCGAGAGCTAGCAAGGCGAAATAAGATATGTACTAATCACTCTCATCCGCTCCCATAATTTCTCGTCAAGTTTTGCCATCGTTATATTAAACGAAAAACCAAAATGTCAAAATTCAAAATTTAAATTATTTGAAATTGAGATGAAATAGTCCAAATTATTGTACAAAGCAGTCTCAATGTTACCCCAATGATAACCAATCCTGGCCTCACTTTTTCTTTGATAATTTCGGCGCATTATAATGTATAAGATTCAAAACATAAGATTTACAACAAGTCTTCTCTACAATGAATCTATTATAAATTAGTATCATATGTTCTGACGTTGCCACTTAGAATCAACGACAAACTTGTTAACGAAAATCTAAAAGTAGAAAAATAAGTAGGATTATTTCTAAATTTAATTAAAGTTAACCATTAATTACTTGAAAAAATTGCAGTCCAATTGCACTGTTTTAACTAAAGTACTCATCTCTCTATTCATCACAGCCTTAACACAATTTGACAGAAAGAGATGAATGGGTAATACAGTTAAAAAGGGCAATTTAGCTGATTTATATGAATTCTAGGTAAATTAAGAATGTACTTTTTTAATACAGTTGCTCAAAAAGTGGCGTATTGTAGGGACGTATAGCGTTCGGAATGTGGGCTATTACACACTCGTGCTTTTTCTTTCCCTTTTCCGAACTAGTGCGTTTTCTTTCCCAACTGTCAAAATAATGTCTATTAAAAAGAAAAACCAACCGCGAAGTTTTTACTAAAAAAAATTCATAATAGTTTTTATGATTCATGCAAATATTTCTAAAAAGAAGCTACTGCTTTGTTTCAATATCAGATTCAATGAGTTGTTAGGTTAGATTTCATATCATCTCATTAAATTTCATTTCTTAACAATAAAAAAATCTACTGAAGACTTGGCTGTATGGGCATAGTTCCCTTTGCCTACCCAAAATCTGCTTATATTCTTTTACGGTTAGCGCCATTTTCCAAAAATGTTCTTTGCGAGTTTAGTTGTTTGTTATATTATATATTAAATGTACATGAACAATCATACGAAATTAATAATAGTTTGTCTCAAACAGTAAATTAATATGCAACCATGTAGAAGTTTTTTCTACAGTTAGTATAAAAAACTGTACCAATTTCAATGTATATGTGAATTATAATTTTTATAAGAAATAAATGATTAGTTAGATGAGTTTATTGTGTTTTTATTAAATTGCTTAATTTTTTCGCAACTGTATTAAAAATAGTTGTTCAGTACACGTGCGGAACCGTCATTGCAACTTGTTCCGACTGTCAACCCTCACCTTCGTCTGCGCCTCGGCTCGGGGACAGGCTTTTCGCACTTGTAATTAAATATACTATAGCTAAACATAATATTACAACCAACTTTATAACGTCTCATAGACAATTTATAATTGGAATGTGTGTCAAGTTCTTACGGTCTAATTAATATAGATACCATTAAGCTTAATTATATCACTAATGTTTTGTAACGATTTTCTTTCAAAGATTAAGTAGTGTTACAAACAAAACATTGAATTGAACTAATTATGTATTTACACATTAACTTATTAGTTAGCCCTAAGCCCTTACGTAGACATTAATCATAGGTGTCAATTATATAAAGCTTTTTTGTAAATAAGGGGTCGATTCTGTGTAAGCCGAGTAATAAATTGAAGTATTACAATGACATGACAATGAAACGTTATAATTTAAACTATTTATGACATAGCTCATTATTAACAGGTGCAATTGTTGTAGTTTTACTATAGTTTTATTTTGAATTGAAATCAAATATAAATAATTCCTGGACGTTTTATTTCATAGATGATTACACTTCCTTATTACACATTCACGAACTGCTCGGAATTTAAAGACCTTGTTCAATTTGTAAACTTATTGGTTTTATAAATTGAAAAAATTAGTCAATTGTGTAGTAATTTTTTTTAGCCGAAATTATTGATATATGAGAAATTTGTATGTAATATTTAGTTAACCGCAATGTGTTTGTACACACTCGTGACTTGTACAAATTGTGCTTATTTTGCTAAAAATTGATAGAGAATAGGTCTCAGCGCGAGTTTTGGCAAGATTATGGTGTGGTGAGGAGTTTGTTCAGTGACCTTTGCCAACTCACGTGCTGGGCTCTATACTGAATTATACATAGTCTAAACTCTATATTAAATACACATAATGACACTATTTTCTAATAATACTAGGTACCTTAATACTGCTACATTATCCTTATTTTAATCTCCAAAAAACAACTTAAGCTTTATTGATTTTTGTTTTAGTTTATATCTAAACACCTATATTTGTTTTGGCATCTTTGGCACCTACTTTGGCTCTTTGTGAGAGCTATTAATAGCTATATAAAACTATCCAATTACACCATCCCACCAACATGTTTTCAATTTCTATGTACAAGCTTTAAAAGCTCAGATTGAAAATAGACAGTTCTAATATTCTTAATAAATTGACAAATAATAAATTCGTTTTACAAATGTTTAAACAAAATTACAAAAACGCATTGAGTGATAATTGGTCGTTGAACGCGATATTTCAAACCACAAGAAGAGTAAAAAATTAATTTGTAACATGAAAGTGGGCGATTTATTACTAATTTATCATGGTAGAGGAGCTTCCTCGTAGAAATCTGGTTCATCATCTTTTTCAATATCCTTTTGCGCACCATCCAACTGAAAAATATAATTTTTTATTAAAACTATCATTTGACTTGAAACTGGATTTAGTTTTGGATAATTACGATTTTTCTAAATCTTACGCTCCTTATAAAACAAATATTACTAAATCTATTTTTTTTAATCTTCTGTTTATCTCGCGTTTTCATACTAGATAATTTAGTAAAAAAAGCATTTTTGAGTATGCAAATAGCGTATAATCTGGAACCTGGGTCAAATCGCCGCGAAACAATAGTTGCTCGTAGGCTTAGAAGGATGTTATGTGTCTGCTCTTTAAAAGCTAAAGCACCAAAAATTTATGATTATTTTATTTTAGATGTGTAGATAATCTATTATATATATAATTCTTCTGTGAGTGTGTATGTCACTGAACTTCTCTCAAACGACTGGACCGATTTTGATGAAATTTTTTGTGTGTGTTCAAGGGGATCTGGGAATGGTTTAGATTCACAAATCAGACCGGCAGATGGCACTGCAGTCGGTACTTTCATACTTTGCTTAATATCCTAATCGCTTTAAATATCATGCAGGACAACGTCTGTGGGGTACACTAGTATACTATAATCTATTGCTATCGCTTTCATATGCAAGCGAATATAATTGAATCTCCAATTTGACTAATTAATTATTTAAAGTTCTAATATGATATGCTTTCATTTATTCATACCGCTCGTAATTGCAGAGGTGTGAAGAGGTAAACCAATGTCATTCTCAATGGAACCATAAGTACTATGAAAAACGGCAGAGCCAAAGAAATCCTCGATGATTTCACAGCATAAAGGACACAGATACCCATAATTTGGATACAAGTAAACAGATGCATTTTCATAGTCGGCACCTGTAAATCAACATAAGTTACTTAATATCTAAATCGACTAGAACATAGTACACTCGATTTTAAAAAGCCATCATTGTTTAATTCGCACCAACATTATGACGACTAAAACAATATTTACCAAGTCAACGTCAATTTCATTATCATCTTTTTTTTCTTTTATCGTCAAGTTTACTAAGACATGCTCGCAATACATGTGGTTTATTTAAAAATTAATTTATAACGAAAAATTACTCACTCGTCTAACGTAGGGCACTTGCGGGTGATGTTTAACTGGTTTTAGAAGTAAAATGGCTCTTTCCCAAAATTGAATTCCACCTAAAGCCGATATACCCATGTACAAGAAAACTCCGAATAGCACTGCCATTGGTACGAGACGAAGCCAACCCGAGGCAAGCACAGACACCCCCACCATTATTGCTACTAACAGACCGGTCAAACGTTGTTCTGAAAAATAATGTAAAAAGTGTAAAATGGTTAAAATTCGATGTAACAGAGTGACAGAGAGGTTATTGTCAGTTCTTCTCGTCACTTCTACGCCCGTGAATTGGGAACTGGCTGTAAATTTAGAAGCATTCAATTTTTTACTGACATTCATAAGTTACGTTCGTTAAAAAAATGGAATATTAGAGAAACCAAAAACATGTAATTGTTGAAAATGTAAAAGATTTTATGTTAAAAAATGTTCTTGTATATATTTATATGAAATTATATGGAGTTTACCAATTTTACCTAGTTATGTTTACATTTTAACAACGTTGTCTTGGGTATGGTAGGGTACGACCAGATCGAGGTAAGGATTGCTTGCTATCACACTTTACTTTTTTTAAGGTAGAAATGTTGGAGAGACTGGGACTGCGTGCCAAAAAGCCACACTCGTGGAAAGCGGTCGCAATTGCTAGCAGTGTCGCGAGCGCGTACAAACTTAGTGAATTTACAAGCATTATTCATAGTTTGTTATAAAAATGCTTTTTATATCAGTTTTCTAGTTTTGTTTTGGTAAGTTTTTTATTGCCTTACGGTTACTGTAAGAATAGAGAGTAAGAAAATAAGAAAAGTTACCTTTAACTTCAACAATATGTGGCTTATCACCGGGTGCATGGGTTGTGGACATCACTGTTAAAGCTGAAACGTGGCTGACAGATCGCACTGTAGCTACGCACTGCCACGGAGCTCCGAACATTCCACAAACTGCATTGACCAACGACATAACAACTATGTCCATGTGGAAACCGCTGCCTTTCTTCAAACGGCGCTCAGGTTTATCAATAATCAACCTATTACAAATTCATTATTATATTAAAAAAGTACATACATTTTATAATAAATACAAAAGCATTCGCATCAATGTAGATTCGCAGAGAAATTAAACTAATGCACAGCAGTGTGTCTAGCAAGATTACGTTGAGAGATGATTTAGTTGCATTAGTATGATAAAAGTTAGTGCAACAATCGCAAATATGATAATAATGCTTGACACACAAAAACTTAAATTATGAGTACTCATATTGGTAAATAATATAAATTTTGTCTTACTCCGCAATATGCGTTTCCATGAATACGATGATGTAAACCATGAGTGCTGGTAAAACCATGGCTCCTATTGCCCAAAAGGGAATGGTTTCTAGCCCTGGGTTAAGAGGTACAAGCCAGGAACGTTCAGCTGTAGGACTCAATCCGTCGGGGACCTTCAAGTTTTCTGTCCAGACAGGTACAATTGCAGACACACCCACCATAATAATAATAGCGATTGGGACCCCAAAATCTCCAAGCGCACGACGTGCCTGAAAAATTATTAGACTACTGAGTCAGTCCTTATCAAAAGGGCTCAAAAAACTCAATTTTATAAAATCATAGTAAAACATGCAAGACGATTCTACTGCCATACTCGTTAGGTATCATTAGATTTAACGTTCCAGGTGGAATACTTGTACTTAATATCAGATTAATTCTATGCGAGTAGTAGATACTTACACTACGACCCAAAAATTTACCGTTCCGGAATATGCGAAGGTAATAAGCGATTATAAATGTCGAAAGAGTCAAAATAGTGCAGAAGAGCGCTGTGTTTGGTTGCGGTGGTATAATGTGCTTTGGTGGAGGTAATGGCATCGTGAAATTTGTTGAACCATCTATAATAAAACACATACAGTAATTACTAAAATAAAAACTTGTTGATTACCATATCTTGTGATTTCTTCTTAAAATTTGGCAATGGACGTGATTCAAGGACTTTTATACCCAATATAAATGTAAGTCTTAACTTAGCAACATTCTTTATTTATCTTTGTGTATCACGTAAATTCAAAGCGATTTAATGTACCTAATTTATTTTAACCTATCTAATCTGTAATTTTCACTCAATTGAAATATTTGACATTAAAGAAGTTAGAGAGAGAGAATAAAATTTTACTTTGTCATGAGTTTTACAATAAAGAAATAAGGTTACTGTACTCAAAATGAATCATCTTATAAAACAATAAATATATGTATCGGAAATCCCTTTTAAAACTAATCAAATCTAGTTATGACGTACCTGATAATGTAGAATTAATAATTGGTGGAGTAATCGTTATATTTTCTTTCTGGCAATAATCGTATCCAAGTGGATGCATTCGATACAAGTTAATAATATTTGTAATCGGTTCTGATATAAATATCATAGAAATGAGGAACGCAAAAATATCTTCCGTGAACCTGTAAATAATTTTTATCATTGTAGCACGAGCCATAAGTGGCACTTATTGATAATTATTCATTGAAAGAGCGCAATACACTCAAGTACTTAGCTATAATGTTTTATTGGAATCTTATTTATCATATTATTGGAATCTTATTTATCAAATGTGCAGTTGGGAATATTAGAAATGTAAAGAAATCTTTCTTTACACCATTATAAGCTCGATTATTTTATTATAAAATACTAGTGGACTCACCCCGCTTCGCACGGCTGGACAAATATTTTTCCTTATATTAGTCTATAGCATTTACCATTGTGAATTTTTGCAATTGGTACAGTAGTTTTTGAATTAATTCATTACAGACATACAAGTAATGTTGAACATAAATAAATAAAAACAATCGAATGTAATACCTAGTAGTCTATATTGCTGCACAATGGCAGTTATTAAAACAGGAGATTTTTATTAATACCTAGTTATAAACACTTTCATACGCTAAATCTTATAAATTGGAATTAAATCAATGTAACAATAATAGTAAAACGCATGCTATCTATGGTATATTGTATAATCTGGAATAGACTAAATAATTATCGCGCCTTATACACGAGTCTGACGAGGACACCACGGAAAGTTCTTGGTGAGCGTAAAATTGACCTGTATTTTATTGAGTTATCGCATTGATGTTTTTGAGAAATAGCATATTTACGTATCATGTCATCAATTATATTTTTTACGTCAAACGATATGAGATAAGATAATATATGTACTGTAAAAAGTAAATACTCGCCTAGTAATTTTCTTGACAGCTACACTCCCCTCTAGAGATGCCACGAGGAGAGCTATTACGATCATCCATAAACCACAGTACATCCGCGCTGCAAGAAAGTCAAAACCGTACGAGTGGCAGAAGTTCGAAAGGGATTCATCCAGGAGTAAGAGTGGACCTGTGGCACCTGTTATCATCATTGGTTGGCCAGCAACCAATGCAAAGAATACGCCTCCAACGGATGTAAAAACCTATAACATATACAACATTTAATATTTTTTTGTATGCACTGAACTAGTCAGCAAATTTTGAAATTATTTTTTGTATTTATACAGGCAAGTATAAAATTTTCAGTAGCTTTACACTGTGCGATGTAAATCGTCGTTTCGCTATGGAAAATTAAAATAGGAAAAATAACATGTTCTAATTGTGTAAATACATTACAATATATTTGTGTTTCACATTATATGTAATGAAAAAAAAATCTCATTGATACATGAGCAATGTGATAAATCGTTACTGATAAATAAATAGCTAAGTCCGCAATTTCTTATCCAAAGATATAATTTAAAGATATATAGCCTTATCTTTACAATAATCATTCAATATACAATATTATATAATTTTTGTTTTATACTAGACCATTGATAAAACCAAGGTCACGTACCAAAGTTTCCGAGATTCCTATAGTGTTATACGTCTTTTCTGCTAGTAGTCCTCCAAAGGTGATGGCCGATGAGAGTGCAGCAAAATACATAAATATAGCCCCTGCTGCACACTGGCCATTTAGGGCATCTCGGAAATCCGAAACATAATGAGGATAACGTCGCCTCATATCTCGTATAACTCCTGATGATGAAAAAGTGGAATCAATTATAAATGCATCAATGACTACACTATAGTTAGATTGTTTTTTGTTTATAGTCAAGATGTATTATAATGATATGCACTTAATGTAAGATACTTCAATGATAATAAAGTCGCGTTACACTGGGCAGAGACCTGCGCCTGTTCTATTAATCATGATTTATTTAAGCAGGCTTTTTGATCTTTCCGATTTTTAACTTTAATGCTTTGCAACAACAAGTAAGTTTTAACTGTAAATATAAACTCGTATACAAAAATATTTGACCAGCGCTGCTCTTGTAGAATGGTAATTGTTATAACTTTCAGTAAAACCTTTTTGAATAAGTACTTTGTAAATAAACTTACCTCCAAACAAACGTCCCGTTTTAGATAGTGGATCATCAGGCTCTTTATCTGGCGGCCCACCACTTTCAGCAATTAATAATGCTTTCTTCTCCTCAATAGGAGAAGCTTCGTCCGTTGTCGTAGTTGCAGCACGTTTCTTTTCTATTGCATCGCGTTTACGGCGACGAATCATTTCACTTTTAGCTCGAAGTTCTTCGAAAGGCAACAGAGCTTGTCGCTCCCAATCACCCGGTGGTAAAACAATTGAATCATCCAAGAACTCATTTATAGCCGATAAAAGCTCGTGTCGGTCTTCAGCTTTATATGCAATCGAATGAAAAGTTGGATTAGACATAAGTGTTGAAATCGATCGACCAACTTCATGGTAATCAAGTTGCGCAGTTGTTGGTCCAAGAAGAATGAACATGAATCGCACTGGAATAGGAACTTCCGTAATGGAGGGCATTAGGATGCCATGAGCCAGTCGTATAAAAGCAATGGTAGGTTGCTCAAGGAACCCGACTGCTCCAACCAGAACCGTAGTAGCTTCTGCATCGTCGGGGATTCTTTTCATAATAGAATCATTATGGGGACGTCTTAATTTATCCTGAGAATCTACTGCGGCAGCTGCTAGATATTCAACTTCACGTGTATCTAAACCAGCTGCTGACGATTTTTTACGTGTGTCCAATCGATCTCCTATAATCATATGCGTACTCTGCCGACGTTTGAAGTCTGACAAGTTCTGTAAATATAATTAATGAATTAATTGTGTTTATTAATTGTAGTAAAAAGATTTTACTGCTTGTATGAATCTGCACTTTTTTACTCATTATCTTATAATAAGAAAACACGAAGTGTAACTGCGTATTTTTACTTGATTAATTTTATCATTTATGATTTCTTCTTATAAAAGTTGGGACTTCTTCAAATTTATTTCTAGCAATCTATACATAATATATAATCTAAATAACTATGTATACGTCGTGCAAACTAACAAAATAGTAACAAGACTTTGAAAAGCTGTTCAAAAGCGACTACGTGATAGATGAAAGATCATTTATTTTTTTTATTAATATACATCATGTTTCACACTGGGATTGCCATTTGCTAAATATATCTCATGGTATACATGATAATTGTTAACCGTGAGAACTATAATGTAATGGAAGCAATAAATCAACATATAGGTATGTTAGCACTCAGGTCGTCGTGCGTTGACTAAACAACCTAGACTTATTGTAATAACGCCAATTATTTCCAGAGTAAAGTATTATAATCATATTTCCGGTTGTGTTCCTCAAATGGTTTGAATTAGTCAAAGAACGACTGCCATGTTTGAAATCGAAGGGGATACCAATATTTTGAATATGACAATGAAACTAAGACACTGCTACTCGAGGATATGGGCGTGAAAAAGGTAAGGGTCACGCGCACAGGAGTATTCCGTACGATAAGATGAGTGCTGTGTCTTCGGCAGGACCCGGTGGTGGAGCAAATTGAACAGCGAATTCGTCCACCCGGCCCAGGTGGACCCAATGCGCTATCTTCTAACCACAGCGACTGCGTATGCGCAAATTATATAAATATACCATCCCGTCAAGTTCATTAAAACTTGGAACCCTAAAGTCTAAGCAGAAAGACGAAAACCAGATTTAAAAAACGCCCAGTCATACAATCCTTGATATGTTCGTTCCATAATTCATGCATATCGTGTCACCTTAATCTTAGATAACTAGCCATGACAAGTAGATAATTCAAAACAATATTTTTTTACACATACATTCCTCTTAGCTTAAACAATTGCTGTTACGATGATCTTATCTTGTGCAAAATTACGATAAAATATTTAAATTTTTATAGAAAATTGATGACGTATTTTACGTTTTGTGTATTGCGCATTGAATTTCTTAAGTACCTGTAAACTTGTGTAGGAGGACTGTTTTCGGCCACTTATAGAAAATCGGAACTTCTCGTCATGGACATGTTTGTGACGTAAAAGAAGCGAACGCAGTACCACGGCCTTATCATCTTCTGCTATCAATCCATCTGAGAACATGCGCTCGACCACCCTGTAATATTTCAAAAGAATAGATTTAAATGTGTCCCTACCTGATTAACAATGTATTAAGTGTAGTGATTGTAATTATTACACAAAAGCATGCATTAAACGAAACCTAATAATTATGCGAGTTAGTGAATCTAGAGTCTAGACTGAGTAAAGCTCCTACAACTATAGATATAGTAAAAAGCTTCTACAACTGAAACAACCTATTTGTCGTTTAAATACATATAAAAAGGAGCGTGATAGAAATTGCATGTATTTCTAAAAATTCTCTTCTAATTTAATTGAATTGAAGGTGGTCTCTCTGTTATTATATTTGTTTCAAAGTCTTGAGATGGTTTTCATGTTACCAATATAAAAAATGTTGATAAAATAAGTAGATTTGAATGTCTACTATCATGTCAAACACTGATCAGATTTCAACGTAATGATTCGCGCGTATGTAATATTTTTTTTTATAAGATAGAGGCAAACGAGCCTACAGTCATCGCAGCCCATGGATACCCATTTTAGTGGATGCGTTGCCGGCCTTTGAGGGAACCACTGCTTCCTTCATCATTCGGTTAGGCGTATTTTTGGGAAATATTAATTTGATTAATAAAGTATTTAATGTTGTAGGACCTGATAAAGATCTTCAAAGATATGAAACACTTCTACCTAAAATTATTTTAATGCTAAAAATATTTTATTGGATTATTATATTTTGTTTTTATTAAATATTTTTTATGTTCACCAACAATAGCAAATGTATCGCTAGCGTGTTAACAGTTCTTCTGGGATTAGCGCTCTTTTCTTTCCTATTAAATCTTAATACTCCCATTAATAAAACTTAAGTCCGATGTTTTCGAACAGCTGTCTGCGCTAAATTATGTAATTATAATTATAGTCTATTGATACCTGTAAGCAACACCAGGTAGATCCTTTTCTTCAAGGTCAAGAAGCACAACTCCGGTCTCCAAACAACGCCTCAGGTTCAATAAAGAATGGAAGGAAAGAGAGGCAACGTGAGGTTTACCCCACCGAGCTGACCCCTCTTCCAAATCCTCTTCATACTTGATCCAACGGGCAGTTTCTTTCCACTCCGAGTCACCATCTTCATTAGCCAACAACTCATCGAGTTGAACGAAGACCTTCGTGACAGACATATCGAGTGTTACTGCCAAATTACTTCCTTAGGAAACTTTTATAAAACCTCTATCTCGTGATTTGGATTTTTTATCAATATCGCTACCAGTTGATATCAATTTTTTTTATATCGCACATAAATTTAGATTATGACTAGTAAACTCTGCGGATGCCTTACCGAATGAGGACTGTGGTCCAATAATTTCTTGTTGATGGTGTCTGTAAATAAACTTTGCATGGTCTTGTCTCCGCCATCTTTTCTGCTGACGTGGACTGTTGAACCCTAAAACAAAGAATTTAACTGAATTTAAATTTTAAACAACTATAAAGTCAACATTTTTGTAACGATAAGGGCTAAAAATTACTTTTAGTTACTACTTTAATTTATTATTTATTTTCTATGGTATATCGAAAGAATATATTCACTACGAATAACTAATAGAACTTTTGGAAAAGTCATCACTCCATGTTTTGCGATGTGCTGGCATTCAATAAGTTTCCTATCTTTTGAAGTTTATTCGCGCGAGCTCACTTAACGTTCTATATAAGGTATATTTCGTTCCATATAACGAATAGCAAAAACTGTGTGTTCTCAATTTCAATACGTGTAAAAAATATAAAGAAAAAGTACCCTTAGTTGAATTTTATGACGACGCAACGCTCTAGGGTCAACACTGCGGTGGCTGCGAAGGTCGTCTTGATCAGCCTCAGGTAATGTTTCTTCTGTTGCCGAAGCTAGGGCATTCCTTTCTCCGATAGGCAGACTCGGTAATAACACACCAACTCTGCCTCCTTCTTGCAAGGAGTACTTGCGGAACTTATGCGGATGTAAGTGGCGACTATAAACAGATGCCTTATGAAATTTCGTTCTAAAATAATGATAAACCCTCTAACTGATTTATGCTACGGTAGCCGGGTTAAAATTATTATGATGTTCACGATTTTTTCGTCTGTTCATTAATAATAAGGCTGGCTGGTAATAAGGGCTGGTAATATTCGAATAAATCGTATACTATTATTAAAAATAAATATTGCTTTGATGATTATTTATTTCTATTGAATATTTAAATTACATGAAACGACGTACAAGTCAAAAAATGTAAAACGTTCCTAAACTCACGTTTTCCACATTTTCCCGCTACCGTTTAATTATTTTTTTACTAAACAGACAAGGGGAACAATAACAACATTATTATTTCACTAAATACACGCTTGATACATACATTTTCATGATTCTTATACATATAAATATTCTTTTAATCATAACGACGGTCAGACAACAAATGGAGATCGCCTACGTTTGAATTTACAATTGTTACAACTATTTATGCTACTTTATCACTGCAATGAACGACAAACTGGACTGAGTTACATCAATTCTATGGACAATTTTATTTGTAAACATGGAGAAATGAAACAATTTTGACCATAGCGTATTGAATGCTTATAAAAGCGTGGTAACGATCTCGTGAAACTAAGTTGGTTCAATATTCTGACAGATTCTTATAGATTATTTAATTGTAACTCTCTAACTTTAATCTACTTAGTTAGCGGCAACATAAAATTCGTTTATAAAAAATAAAAAAAATGGCCTTTCCTCTTAGTCAAATATGGCCTAAACTTTTGCAAAACAAATGCAACATTGAGAGTAACAAAAATAATAAAGTTTATAGCCTCTTCACAATATTGCATTTTACAGGTTTACATGCTGCAAGTATTGACAATCTTTGTGAGAGGCTGGTACGTATTTAATTAAAGTCTACCTCAACTGGATAACAAATTTTCAGTTGCATCGTAATCAAGGTTTTTGAGAAATTTAGAAACAGCTATTTTTATTCCTTTTAATTTGACTATACAGTATACATACTTCGCTATTATTAATATTATTAAGAATTATTTTTTCAGTGTAAGCATACTTTTAAGATGTTTATAATTAAAATATTGTTATGTTAGACACGTTAGAAAGTGTCAAAGCCTGCGTGACGTCTTCGTAAATAATTTTACAAGATCTATGTGATCTCGATAGATTACTAACGCGGATGACCGATGCAGTGACCATGTCGTCGTGCTACGAGCATACTATAAGGGTATATTATATAGCAAACGTGTTGATTTCATATTTTACAATAGATGGTTATAACAACATGCCGACTATGTTTTACAATAATAAAACTAACTACACACTAAGCTATAGACGTTCTAAGCGACGATTTGCTAATACGTTTATACATTTATGTAAATGTATAAACGTATTAGCAAATCGTCGCCTTAATACAATGCAATAAAAACGCAAAGAGACTTATTCAATTCGTGGAAATAAAGTAATAACAAAACAATTTTTCATATCGTACATACATTTCAGAACATGAAATCCTTTGTAATTATTAAAAGAACTAAGAATTAAAATAATAAAAATTCATCGCATTTTATTTGGGCAACATAAATGCAATGTACGCTAAAAAAAATTTTGCGCGAGTTTAGTTCGGTGGCGTTTGTTGTAGATATATTCAAATATATGTTACACTTTGTTTGGAGCTGGGTGTCAACTGATATGAGCATATAACTAACATAAAATTAGGGATACATAGTGGGGTTGCGACGTTAAATGAACAAAAAACTAACTTGGTTTCTTAAATCCAAGTGACACTTCAATATAAGTATAGTCGACCTTTTGGACATTATCGGAAACAAGAATGTTATATCACATTTTATGTGTGTGGGAAAAACCAAAGGCCTCATTTTGGCTTCAAGTGTGCGATGATTGCTAACATTTGGTTTACGCTACTAGTTATTGACTAAAATATATTATATTCTACTCGCCTAACCGACGATATGGTCATGCATGGGTTCCATCGCATATGGGGAACGATTTGAAGTGTGCCATAAACACTTCGTATTGAATTTAAATATAACTTCCTATAGCGAAGAAGCGTCTTATTAAAAAGTTTTATTGAAGTAAAACTTCTTTATCAAGGTTGGAAAAAAATTTAGTGTAACATTTTTTCGTTACGCGTCACATTTTTCGGTTACGCGCCATGTTGCTTTTTGAAGTCAAACTTCTTTATCGGCGTTGGAATGAAACTTCTTTATCGATGTATGGGAGAAATTTTGTAGCAAATCGTCACGTTTTTCAATGATAGTAATAATTCTATTACAATTAATGAAATTCTATAATAATCTTCGTAGTAATAAGGTAAAATGAAATATTTGTATTCATGTCTATGATAATAAAAGCCTTTTGTTAAACTTTATCTAATTTAACGAATTTCTGTATAGTTGCATATAGTAGATCATTTTTCGTAAAATAAGATCATAAAGAAGTTTCACTTCTTACGTGTGTACACCTAGTACACGCACAATTTATTTAAATGTGTGTGTTGCACTCTTATATAAAATTCGGACTAGGAATTGATTTGGCAACACGTATAATAATATAATATCATAATAGTTTTTTCACATAGAAAGTAAGATTAGATATTCGTATCTAATGTATATAATATATATATTACTTATTATAAAACTAATCCCCTTATTCATAAACAATCTCTTTTTATGATAGGGTTAGTAAATATTTATTATAAAATAAATTAATTATAAAAACATTACTTAGTTAAAAGAGTGCTGCCTTGCGATTCTGTAACTTTACGATTCTGTGATTTTACGATTTAGCATTCTGATAAAAAATAAACTACAAGCCCTCCTTATCAGAATGCCAAATCGTAAAATGAATGCTTCACGACTGATTTGAGCGCGACCTCCGCTGCGAAAACCGCTGTGAGAGTTCGAAAAGTGAGTTACAGAATCACAAGGCTGATATCCTATTCCTCAAGCTGTAATGGATCAAAATATTCAATTGGTATAAATAATCACCTTCTGTCAACTTCCCTCGTAGTGGTTAAGGAATTCAGTTAGATTTACGTCGAAATAATATAGTTTCGGCTTATGTAGGAAAAGGGCTATACTAAAAACGAAGAATGAAGAATGTCTCTAGCTCCATATTTAGAGGTAACGAGACATAAAACAAATTACTTAAATAACAAGCCCTTATATATATGATCTTTATTTTGACCATCTCAAAGACTAACGTCCACTAAACTAGTTATCAAAAAGCTACTAACTAGGTGTGGGACTTTTCAGTCTTTGTTAATATTTTTTTATATACCCAATTCAACCACAAAATAAAACATTGCCATTATAATAGTGATATATTGGTATACCGTACTCTTTATTCCATCAGTTTAAATGAAGTAATCATACACAAGAGAGGTAACTGTACAACTTTTTCGCGGCTTTTTTATGTCAATACAATTTCATTGTTTCAATATATACTGATCAATTCTGATAACATTCGAGGTTATATTACCTCAGGTTACGAAATTAAGGGCTTAATAGCATTGACTCAAAAACATTGTAATAACTTGACCTGCCATAGAGCAAGGACAGACGCAGCAACCGCGACTGGTAGGTGGCCGGAACGTGGTAACAATTCGATTATCAGTGAAGCGCGCAATCTACGAGTATCAATCGTGATATAATTATTACTTTACACAAAGAGTTTCCAAAGATCATTGTATCTTGCAGATCAAAATGGTATTGTTAATCCTCTTGTTGCAAAATGGAAGATGGAAATATACGAAATTTTTAAAATATAATTTGTAATCTATCAAACAGAAATCGGTCCCAATTTACCGTTGTAAGATATAGAAAATCCCACATTTATGAACTTCTCATATATAGACATAGATTCAGTTACCTTAGGATTATAATTGTAGTTATTCGGTGCTTAGGTATTTATTGATTACTTATTAAAGCCTACAATTTCTTATTGAGTTCCGTAGCGTGTTCTCGTTCATGATGTCATCGGTTCAGTTAACATAGTGCAATTTAGCGAATAACATTACACCATATTAGACTTATCAACTCAAAAATATGTGTATATTCAATATTAATAACTGTATGTAAAATTTCACACGTGTGATTTTAAAAGTTTGAAAACGGTGAATCGAACTTTAATGTGTTTAACAATATTCATCCAATAAATTAGTCACCGCAGTCATGGAAATAGTGCTATATAATAAAACATAAATGAATATCATGTCATGTAACTCACCGTTGATGCTGCACCTCAGAGGCGCGAGTGTACATCACGGGCATCTTTCAAAAATTCACTAAAAATATCAGCGTTCGTTTCAAGGGCGCAAAACGACCGCATCTCCTAAGCGTTTTTAGACGACAAAAAAACTAGAGTTGAAACTATTTGAGCAAACTCGGGACAATGCCAATATCACGAGTTGCTCTTAGTACTATTTTTGTCCTATAGTGGCTTCCGTATTGATGAATTTTAAAGATGCTAGCCAACTTTAACACGTAATTAATGGTATTCAATGTAGATGTACTAACATGCGACGCGTATTAGACAACTTAGGTCGATAGATGGCGGTGGTTTTAAAATCCTCCATATATATGTGTGTTATGTAATTATGACAACATTGAACGTCTAGCACGGTATATAGGACGCTAGACAGAACAGTTTTCGCGATATATTTGTGTGCCGCGCGTACATAGTTACGGACAGGATACGACAGACGGCTAAAGGCACTCATTTCTTTTGGCTAAGAGATAAATTTTACTGTAGAACTTGTTTTTTGTTTTATATATATGAATAATTTTGACAATGTTTTTCTAGTCCAGGTGGCAAAGCATTAGTAAGCCTGGAGGGTTCTAGACGCTGAGATCTGATATATCTGCGTGTAATTGGGTGATGGAAGATCCTACGCAACATGAATGGGACCACGGTCTACTTAAGGTAGAGGTCTTAAGACCCATTGCACCACGCTGAAGGAGGTCGATGTTAAGCCCGACAACATTAATGGTCAAGGGTCTCTTGCAGCTGTCTCCCTTTCATAGGCGTCTTTAAGTAAGAGGGTTATTACGTGACATAAAAACTTACTAGTGTCGTTGAATTCGTCGTTCTTCTTTGTAATCTTCTGTCAGAGAGCTTTCTAGATCTTCACTATCAAACTGAACGTGGCGGTCGAAGTCCTTTGTGTATATTGAGCCGGAATCCGATGGAACACCTGACATCTGAAAATATATGTTTTTATAATATATTTTCGTTTATGCCTTGGCCAAGGACCTTTAAAAGGACTAAGGCCTACTTAGTTAAAATTAATCCTAAATAAAATAATATAATAATAATAAAAAAATAATTATAATTATCTATTTTAAAATATATATAACAGTGCGAGTAAGGAGATAAATATTTTTTTATCTTAAATTATATGGAGTTTATAATATGAATACAAAGATAGTAAGTCGTATAATTCTTTTCTTACAAACGAGAACACCTTATTAGTATGAATACTTAAAAAAGTTACAACAAAAAATTTCAGTAAAGATGCGGTGATTTTGATGTTTAAATAAAGTGAACCATTATAAAAATAGAATAGGATTCCTAAATTTCACGTAGTTTGGTACTGGTTTACATATAAAGAACAGCGAGACGTTTACAAAAATACATACACTTATTACACCGGCGAACTATTAGCAGCCGAAATAAACATATTATGTAAACTATTGTTTCTGAAAAGCACCGTCAATAGCATATTTTTTCAAACAAATGCAGAACGAGATTTCTCCCTTGTTCTTATAAGTGATTCGGTCAAATTGCACTGTTTTAATTGTGTTGTAAAAGTTGATAAGTAATAACTTATATCTATCAAACTGTGTTGACGCTGTGAATTTATGTTGCTGCTTCTGAGAAACCACCACAAACACGTTTTAGAGTTGGTAACAAGTAATTTTAGTGAGAGTTATGAGCTGAGTAAAGAGGCGTTCTCTTTGGAGACAGGTACTGAAATGGTAAAATACATAAAGGCTTTATGTCCTTGGATAACCGATCGATAATTTGTACGTATCTATAACTATCTAAATTGCCTTTGCGGGTGGTAACACAGTTATAACATGGAGGACCTAAATTTGATTTCCAGCCTAACCATAATTGTTTCGAAGCGCTGAAACCGAACGAATTTGTACTCGAACTTACTACACCCAGCTTTGCGTTTGTGTTGGGACGCGTAATTAACCTTTCGCTGCGCTAGTTAATTACGTACGCACGAGGGCTGTTTCGTAAAAACAACTTACTGCTACTAAAATACAGCAATCGGAAGAAAGTAAACACTTAAACAAAGGTTAAAAGTAATTTTTAACAGCAAATATAAATAGTTGTGTGTGGCCTTTTTCCGTACTAGTTTTCAAAATTGTCTTACGGCGGAAAGGCATGTAACCATCTAAAATAACGAAGATATACCATATTTCCCTAAGAGGAGATAGGATCGATGAAACAGATATGTCTGATGTGTCTACGGCGGTTTAAGCTCATAATATCAAATATAGTCTAATAAATAAAATTATAATTAAAAGTACATCACTATAACATTGCATTTAGTAATTTGTGTTACTGCGCCTCCAAGGTGAATCAGTTATTAGTAACTCTAGAAAAAGTAATTCAATCATTAGAATGAAGATATTATAAAGTTTTATATAGTATTTGTAGCATGATACAAATACATGTCAATTAACCTAAAAAACTATACATCAAATAAGTATAAGAGTATAACTGATAAGAAAAGCTAGAATAATGTCATCATTTCAAAATCTCTCTCTATTAAGAAACTTAAGGAAAATTAATTATACCTTTCTCGAAGTTACTAAAAGCAAGGTATACTTAAATACGATCACTAATTACTGATTCTTGGAAGACGCTGCATTTTGTCGATGAAATCTACAATATAATATAATGAACGGGAAAATGTTTGCAGCTTTCAATACTCTTATTAATAAATGACTTTTTAAACAAATTATCATTACATCATCGTAGGCCAAAGTAAGATTTAAGTCGATGTATTATTATAATAACAGATGTTTGGTTAATCCGAGGTTTTCACATTTAACAAAAATTTTATAAAAGTTTTTAACAAATATAAACACGAATTTATAAAACAAATGCCAAATTTATTTATTACATTATTTACTCAAAACTCGATGGGTTAAATAAACTTTTTTTTATATATGTACAAATCTTCTGTGCGTGTGTTTGAAATTAAACTCTCCTAAGCGGCTGGAGTATGGTGAAAAAACGTCTGTCAGGTCCGCTAATTATAACGAGTATCTAATTTACGCCTACTCATACTCATCGCGTAATAACTTTTCGGTCAGATTATTATTGAATATTCCTTGAGTACATGACACCCATTATTTAAAAATATAATATCAATTATAATAACACAGAGGTTTTTTTAAATATATTATACGAGCTTTCATAAATACATAAACCACAATATGTGAACTTTTAAAGATTAAACTTTTAATTTTAAAATCGTTATGTTTTTAGCGTTATATACCCATATACATGATTAAAAATAGTGTAGGTGTAAACTCAGGAAGCAACCATATAATAAACACGATCTCATTGGACTCAAATTCATCTGAACAATTAAATTTCCAATATAAGCACGTAGGAGGAAATCCTATAATACCTTATTGTACTTACTAGAGCCTCTGAGACGGTGGTACTGCAATGGCGTGGACTACCAGGGGAGAGCTCAGAACTATTTTGATACTCTGAAAACATCAGAATGTAAATATTTTTATAAAACATTCAATATATAAAAGTCTTCTTATGAAAGTAGGGAGTTAAAAATGTACTCTAACTGTCTCCCATATTAGGTATAAATTTTATATATTTATACTTAAAACTCTTTGCTTTTTGTACGACACATTTAACAGTTAACTTATATTAACACGGACTTAAACTAAATAAAATTGAGTTTATTTGTATTTATAATTCAAATCTTAATTAATTTCTCATTCAATAATTCTATAATGGTATTTATCACAGTTAGAAAATCGACGATACGCTAGTAACTTCTCTATCTATCTATAAATTTTCAAGGCAACAGATGCAGACATCTGAGCTGTAGTGAGACTACTGTAGGTATACGGGAGAAACATTTAAAACATTATCTGATTTAGATTTCAATGTTCATCTAAATGAGAAAGGTTGTTAAACTTTTGCTTTCATGTAAAAATCCTTTTCACTTCAAACTAAAACCTAAAATTTTAAATAGCCAGGAAATTATGAGACTTACCTATGGAAACGTTTGGATATGATGAGTACGGCAACGGAGCAGCGGCATCCCTAATAGGTTCGGTCTTCTGAAGATTCCTAATGGAGGTTCCTCCTCCCCAGAGCACACGATCCATCTCTTCATCCAAGTGGATCTCATCTTCAGCTGCTTCCTGATGAAAAAAATAAAATATTTGTTAAAAACAATACTGATATTCAAGGTTTTGAGGGAGCAGACGGGTATTTTCGAACTCCTCCGATATGTCTTGACCGATTTGTGTGCTGTTTTATGTAGATTTGGTTGCATGAGAATATAATGTAATGTACCGCTAGGTGATTAGAATCCTTATCTAAAAAATTTTGCTTAAAAATAACAGTGCGAGTTAAATTAATCGAAATTATCACATTTTAGTCACACCTCTCGATTATATCAAATAAAAATACAATCAAAGCCGAAGCTGCCTGTATGACAAAAACCTGGAAACCCAGCTAAATACGCAAATATTTGACCTTTGCCTTACTAACAACCTCAATATCAATTTAAAAGTGGTAAAAATTATTCTAAGCTTTTAATTTTCATTATGTTCTTTGGAATTATATTGCTCCTACCGTAAAGGAAAATATCGTTAAGCACTACTAAGAACCAGAACCTAATCGTCTATAAATAAAATACTCGGAAAATTATAAAAAGAGCCTATTAAGTCCTCCATTGATTTTATATTCATATATTTATATATCTGAAGAACGTTTCTAGCATAGGGTTGTAGTAGTTATAGCTTTTTAACTTTCAATGAAATAAATGGTCGCTTAAATCACCGGTAACTCCTAATGAACGACTTTAAGTACGATTTTTGTAACAACTTTTTGATATAATCATCCTAAAGGTTAAAATTATATGAAATCTATGACGAAATGCAATATAACACTAGTGTGGAATTTAGGGAATATGTTAGGTTGTATTCAAATAATTTCAAAAAAGATTGCAAAACTGCAAAGTCTCAATATTTAAGTTCAAAAATAAAAAATAGCATGGATAAAGTAAAAGCTACCTGGAAAATAATAAATGAAGAATCAGGTAAAACGTCTGACAAACGAACTGATTATATGTTAAAAGTTAAAGGGAAGTTAATAAAATCTGACCCAGAGGTAGCTTCTTCTTTTGAAGAGTTCTTTACAAATGTACCACTAAATACGACCAAGTCCCTAGATTCTTCACCTGCTGCTGCGATCTCATTGCTAGAAAAATGTGTACCTGAATGTAATATTAAATTTCAGTTTAAACATATAACTTGTAATGATATCGTTAAAACTTTTAAGCTTATTAATTTAAAAAAAAGTAAAGATATATGGGGTATGTCAACAGTCATTTTAAATTCCGTTATTAATGTAATAAGCTCTGAATTGTCTATAATTTTTAACAGATGTATCGATTGTGGAGTCTTTCCGGACGAAATGAAATTAAGTAAGATTACACCGTTGTTCAAGGCCGGTAGTGAGTCTGATCCGTCAAACTTCAGACCTGTTTCCGTGCTCCCTGCGTTGAGCAAAGTTTTTGAAAAGATAATGCTAGACCAGCTTTCTTTACATTTTAATAAAAATAAACTCTTACATAATAAACAGTATGGTTTCACTAAGGGTCGCTCCACAATCGATGCCGGTGTGAAGTTGATTTCGGACATATTTAACGCCTGGGAAGAATCATATGATGGAGTCGGCGTCTTTTGTGACCTGTCAAAGGCCTTTGACTGTGTTCATCCTGATATACTCGTTGGAAAGCTTCAACACTATGGCGTTGATGGCAAAGCTTCCAGCCTGATGAATTCATATTTAAAGGGAAGGATCCAAAGAGTTCATGTCAATGGAGTCACCTCTCCGGGTTCGCAGGTATCAATGGGCGTCCCCCAAGGATCGATTCTCGGGCCTTTCTTATTTCTGATTTACATAAATGACCTCCCATTCTTTGTCAACGAAGTTCATGAGATGGTATTGTTTGCTGATGACACTTCACTTCTATTTAAAGTGAATAGGAATAACGTATTATTGGACGATGTAAACAATTCTATCTCTCGTATAGTTAACTGGTTTAATGTAAATAACTTATTACTTAATGAGAATAAAACAAAATGTATTAGATTTACAACTACTAGCGTAAAGCGAGATATTGGTAACCTGAAAATTAAGGACAGTGAACTAAACTTTGTTGACAAAACTGTTTTTCTAGGCATAACAATAGATAGTAAACTCCAATGGGGCCCACACATAGAGACTCTTTCGAATAGGCTGAGCTCTGCAGCATATGCAGTAAAGAAAATCCGACAGTTTACTGATGAGGACACGGCTAAAATTGTGTACCATAGCTACTTTCATAGCGTTATGTCGTACGGCATTTTACTGTGGGGTGCTGCTGCAGAGGTTCAATCCATATTTGTGCTGCAGAAGCGGGCTGTTCGGGGTATTTGTTGTGTTTCTCCGAGGGAGTCGGTACGGAATAAGTTTAAGGAATTAAATATTATGACACTATCTGGTCAATATATTCTTGAAGCCTTGTTGTATGTCCAAAAAAATATAAACGATTTTAAAACAAATGGTGACTTTCACCAGTATAATACGCGAAATAGAACTAATTTGAGTGTACGACCAACCAGGCTCCAAAAGATAAACCACTCCTTATATGGAAATTGTATTCGTTTTTACAACAAGCTCCCAAGCGAAATTAGAGAATTATCACTAAATAAATTCAAAGCCCTCGTTAAACGAAAATTAATCAACAAAGCTTTTTATAAATTTGAGGACTACTTAAATGATCCTAATCCTTGGGATTGAATTGCTCCAGTTCAAACAATTTGTATGGCAATACTTGGCGATTAAAAAGAGTGGCGGAAAGTTTCTTGCCAGTTCTTCTTACCCGCTCTACGCCCTTGACTTGCGAACTGGTAGTAAATGTAAATTTACGATTAATTTAACTTGACGATTCAAAAGTACCAAGTAACCAAGTACACCTACTTGAATAAAGATATTTTGAGTTTGAGTTTGAGTTTGAGTTTGAGTTAAAGATCAATTAAAACAGAGAGCTCCTACCTTCCATGACTTTAAAAAATCGTCATATGACCAGAATGGCTTTCAATGAATTAACAATACAAATCCTTTTATTTTAAGTCTTAGGAAATAGCAGGCAAAACTTCTTGTTTTGGTGAGACTTCTAAATAACTAATCAGTAACGTGTTGAAAACGTCATAATTAGAGAGTATTTATTTTGACGATAGTAACTAAATTATAACAATATTTTGTAACACAAAACCCTATTCTCTATGTAAATCGCAATGTATTTAAGTTTGAGTCTTCATATATTGAACGATGTGATTTCAAACTTTTTATAACCGTTTCTCGGTTGGATGAATTAACGTGATTTTAGCAGCTCGCTAAAGTCATTATAGAAAACGAGCCCGCAGGGTTTCAATAGCGTCCAACGGTTTCAAAACAGTAAACATGAAGTTCCCTGTGGGTTGGGTAATAAACTGTCTACAGTATTAATTTTTTTGTACATGTCACCTTTCCGAATTGATCCGGAATTTATATGTGGTACTTGTAACTATAGGACTCGAAACCTACAATGTTATACATGTCTATCTGAGCCGATTCACGGCGATCAAAAACAACTTTTCACTCATATCCGTTCAGTCTCGCTTCAGCTTTGAAAGGAAATAGTCTAGTCGACAAGTTGAAAATGGAACAAAATAGAGATACTGCTCTTAAAATTATGTGCGATAGCTCATTGGATCCGGAATGACGTCTAGAAAAATGTGCTAAAAGCGTGTATTAGCACATAAAAAATTGCAAAAGTTATAGACAATTAAAGATAAAAAAAAATGGCATTTAGTTTTTTGCCAATATTTAATAAACTATTAATATTTAAGAAATTTCAAATAAAGTTTCTGAAAGAGGAGGAAATTTCCAATAAAAAAACTCCCGGAACTCTATCTCCATTATTTATAATTTTAATTTAACGCTGAAAATAGGTCTGCGGGTGAAGTTTTTAGGATTCGCGCGTGGCGTCAAAAGCGACTACGGCACATTAATTAATTTATTTAAGGTATTGAATATTTTTTTTTAAATTTGAAAAAATTATGGTGTGTTCTGAACACTATAATTAATTTATTCCCGTTGAAAATTTTACTTAAAGTTAATTTTTCAACAAGTTAATTGTTAACTAACGAAATTTTCTCGAACGACCGTCTTAATTGTAAGTGAAAAAAAATGTTTAAATAATGGTCGTAAAAATATTTCGCTTCGTAGAGCCTTTCTTACATACATACTTAACAAGATCGTGCCATAAAAGTAAAAAAAATATTTATACTTTGTTTATAACAATTTTTTTACTTAAACAAAAACTTAAAAATCCATGTAATGTTGTTAAAAATTTTTTTTTTCTAAATCATCATATAATCGTTTTTTTATTTATACAAGATATTTATTGATTTGCAAAAAAAAAATTCCCGCCATTAGTTGATAAATTTTTTTTAAACAAATTGATTAAATCAATATTTTAAAAAAAAAATTTAACACTTTATTACATTAAAAATTTTATGATTTTAAAAAAAAATTTTTTTTCTTAATAACAATTTTTAATTGTTTATAATCGTTTTTTTTAATTTTCTATTGTTTAAATAATTAGTTAAGAAATTTTTTTTTCTAAAAATCATAATTCACAGTCCTCTATAAAGTAACAGAAAAAAATTTTTTTTTAATCAACAATTCTATTGTTTATTAACTTACCAATTTGTTATAAACAAATATTCAACTTTTTTTTATTTTTTTTCTAAAACTTCTAAAATTAACAAAAACAACCATATATAACAAAGTATAGAAAAAATTTTTTTGTAAATTTTTTGATTATCATGAATATTACTTTTATTTAAAAATATATTTTTTTTTGAAATTTCTTAAATATTAATAGTTTATTAAATATTGGCAAAAAACTAAATGCCATTTTTTTTCATCTTTAATTGTCTATAACTTTTGCAATTTTTTATGTGCTAATACACGCTTTTAGCACATTTTTCTAGACGTCATTCCGGATCCAATGAGCTATCGCACATAATTTTAAGAGCAGTATCTCTATTTTGTTCCATTTTCAACTTGTCGACTAGACTAAAAGTTTCAAGCTAAATATTACAGTTCGCCCTTGAACTTTCCAAGCCACGTTTTAGTAAAATGGAATCAACGAGTTCCAATGCATTTATAATCTAATTAAAAATAGCAAATGTAATTAAAAGTCAATAATGGTATCATATTGTAGTAGTTTATAGGAATGACGAAAATAATTATAATTCATATTCATCAAGTATAAATTATTTCAGAAAGTACCTATCACTTAAATCAGGTGGGCCTCTAGCCCGTTTTCCACCTGTTAAATTAAAAAATCTAAATCATTCATACTTTCTCACACCCATTTCATCCATATCACCCTCAGTAGATGTGTCATTCTTTTAATTGTACTGTATTATTTCTATTTCAATAGTTTTTTTAAATTTCAGTTCTAAATACCTTATGAGGATTACTTTACTTGTCATACTTATATATGTAGTGTTATAATGAAACAGCTTACCGCTTCCGAATAGTTCGAAACAGTAGCCATTTAAAATATTGTAATTTAATAATAACTTTTTATGGGGCACAAAACTGCAATTGACAGATAATTTTATTACAATATATTTTCCAGTTACAATGTTCAATTTATTTTAACACAAGTCGCTATCCAGCTTCACATGAATCTAGATATTATTTATTCTATTCGTCTATATTCGTTTTCAAAAGTTATTATAATTTAAACTTACAAAAAAAAATTGTCCTCCAATAAATGTTTGATCCTTTTCGTTAACAAAATTTTTTTTTATTAAATTCTTATAAAATTAACTTATAGGCGAGAATCTATAACTTAATAGCTATAAAATAATTGATTTATTTCCGAAGCCTACGATTAGTTGTTACCAACGGCACTTAATTTTGATATCGAATTAGCTGTTATATATATTGTTGATTTGTATAATAATTCTCATTAATGTTCAAAATTTTATCTTACTCGAAAAACCAAGCAGATGAAACGGGGCATTAACATTTTGAATCAAAAAGACTTTTATAATGCAGATAGAACTAAACTTAATTTTTTTTATTTTCTTTTTTGTCTCGATTTTGCTAGATCCGGCTATCTTCTACAGCTAACCGAGAAGAGTCATGAAGTTGGCCTAAGTATGAATCCAACAATATCTATAGTTTTGTCTAACCACTACAATCCATTAGAACTGACAGATAGAAAAAATCACAAATAATTAAATGTAGTTATCTATTTATTGAACACTTCGTCCCAAAAATCATTTCGATCTCTTTCAAGCAACATTTAAAGGAAAAATTAAATTACAAAAGGCGAGCAAAAGAAGTGCAAAATCTGTAGTTTTTATAAAAAGTGAAAAATGAAAAGAACAAAACAAATAGAGTATTTAGGTGTAAAGGGAAGTGGAGTAGAACATTTAGAATTATAAAGAAGAGAGCATAAAAATAATAATAAAAAACTTCTTTGGATAACATCAATATCATCACGTTATAAGAAAATACCAAAGGAGACAAGTGAAAGTCTAATAATTTAATTTTTATAATCAATGGTATATTTGTAGTCAAAAAATATGTTAATTGTTGTCAATTTAAATAAAACATTTATTTTAATTGATGAATGTTGAAAATATCCGAATAAAAACTTACTTATTGTATTATAAATGCAATAGAAGCTTTGTGTAACACTGATTTAATCCTGTAGAAAGAAATCTATTTAATGTTAATGAAATAATGTACCAAAAATCCACGTTAAAACTTTTAAGTATAAAATTACTTAAAATATGTATTTAGAATTTTACCCTAACAATTTAAAATAATCCTTTGTAAATTAAAATGAGCTGAAGAGAATAATTATATTTGTACCTGTTGCTCCATTTTAAACACGAACGTTACACGGGGCAGTTAGTAGAGGGCTTGTCTATTCCAACTACCACGGGGAACTAACGTATTTCTAGGTACGCTGCCGCAACATGTATCGTCGAAATGATATTGCATTATGAAACAATAAATTCAAAAACGTTTTATCCCGACATAAAGTCATTGTGGACCATTTGACTTCTAAATTTGTTTATATACTTAACCGTTTTGGGTGTAAATTACCCTGCATCATCTTTTTCCCTTGCTTAATATAAGCGATAATTAGCGCTATTGCGTAGTAGCTAACTGGTTTAATTTCAGTTGAAACAAAATTAGCCTCAGAAGATATCAACGTACCTAAAAACTAAAAAAAACAGACAACTGTTGGGGTTTTTCGGGTTACGGGTTGCGCTAAAATAAATTTTAAAGTTCGATTTTGTTTGTACCAATTAAACTGATTGATAGAGCGATGTTGGCCTAGTGGCTTGGCACGTGACTTTCAACCATAAGGTCGTGCTTTCTGAGCACGGCTGTGCAACAATTGATTTTTCTTTCGAACAATCTAACACTGGCTCGTGTAATGAAGGCAAATATTATAAATAAAATGGCGTCCGTTAGACAATTAATTGATGTCTTTTTTTGTATCTATTAATTTATATCTAATTGAAAGTTAGTAAAAATAATATAACACAAGTTCAGCTATGATAATTAATGATTAAATTATATTGTTATATTATAACATATGATTTTTCATTTGTTTTAAAGTCTCGAAGGATAAGGACAAAACATTTCCCGCCAATTGCACTAATTAGAATATCCTGATTTGATATACGTAACTTAATTTGGGTATTTTTTAAAGTAAATTGGTTTGCACCAACGTTAGGTTTCTACTTAAGTCGTTAATAACTAAATTAATTGTGACATTGTCAACGGCATTGGACGTCATAATATGTTTTCATAGCTCGTATTTAATTATATTTATTAATAATATTTGTCATTATGTAGTTGACTTCGATTTGCAAGGCAATGGTGAAAAGTACCTACATATAAAATAGGGAAATAACTTAGATACTAGTAAGGATTAGAAATGATATTGTTGAGGAAATGGAATACTGGCCAGCACAAGGGTAATTTTGTTTTTGATACAGATTCCGCATAACTGAAAAATAAATTTCAGCTTAAATATAAAACCTTTGTAGTAATAACATACGTGGGCCGAACCGGGAAATAGATGCTTAAAACCGAAAACATAATAAGGTACTCTTACATAGCAAATTCACATAAAAAGATATAGGTAAACAGTTCGGCATCCATTTATCAAATAATTTTGTGAAATTATTGTACCCTGAACTCTGTGAATAGAATATCAAGTAATTTAAAATCTAGGCAAAAAATAGTTTTTTTAGTACAGGGGCAAAATAGCACAAACTTAAGAAATAAGTAGAAGAAGATTCCGTAAAAGAGACCATATTTATGATTATTTTAATGGAGGCTGTACTACATTCATTGTAAATAATATTTGTTAATATATTTACTTATAGCATGACAAAGTATTAAAGATTTAATTAAAATTGTGATTCTCTTTGTATAATTTTTATTTAATTTAATATGAGACTAACTTGCATGGGCGGTGACCCTCCTCACCTGATGTTAAGTGATATCGCCGCCCATAGACATTCAAATTGCCAGAAGGCTTGCAAGTGCGTTGCCAGGCTTCGCTCTTATCTTGAAGGACACTAAGTCGCATTGGTTCGGAAATACTTCAGTGGGCAGCTGGTTACACATAGCAGTGGTGCGTGGCAAAAACTGCCTTAAGAAACGCTCAGTTGTGGTCGTTTGTTATACCAGTATGAAATAGTAGTAATAAGGAATTTCTAAAAACTTATACCAATCCTATTTATACCTAAAAGACTCTTAGAATCTCGTTGAAGGTGGTCTAGACATATGAGTTTATATCTAATGCATTTGCTCTACTTTCAAAGGTTATTGAATAGTTCTATTAAACGCACTTAAAGTGAATTAAGGTACATATACCTGCACCTGCATTGTACAAGGGCAATAATTTATATTTTTTTACTAATATATCCTTAATGTTGAGAAATGATTTTTGTGTTTTTGTAAGGAACTGCCGAGTAGGCCTGAAGAACATTATGTTGATCTTTCATATCTTGTTGTTTGGATGTCAAGTGATTTGGCTATTGGACAAGATTTTAAAAACTACTTCCGGCTAATAAACGACTATGGAACCTATACAAATTGTAATTTTTAATTATGTTGAGTATTGGCTTAAAAATATCAATTAAAACATTGATAATTTCAAGTACCCGCCAAAATGTGTAAAACCCGCCTTGCTTCCCTAGGCAAGATGGCGTCGCACCAGTCCCTATGACGTACCACGACTGTACACACGTAGGCAAAGATCAAGTTTTATAAGGAGGTACTTATCATTCTTAAGTTACACATTATATTATATTTCTATCATAAACAATCTTATTTATTACCAACGGAGGCTTTATACCATGTGAATGTTGAGGCCCAGCTCTTCGATACAATGGGTCTAGTGCGACGACTCAAAAGGACCAATATTTTTAGCATACATATTTAGTATATACTATAAGTGTAGTGTACAAAATTTATAGGTTTATAAGACAACTCTTTGAAGACATTGACACTAGGGAATGGACTTTAAATATATATAGTAAAATACATTAAATAAGCGTTTTCGTAAATATTAAGGTAAAAAGAAAGTGCATTAGCCCACACTAGTAGGGTAGGGCGGGGCTAGTTGAGCAATTTTTCACTTGCTTGGATATAGCTCCTCAATGATAAGTCTCAATGAGTTGTTATGTGTCCTGATGGATTAGTAATTTATCCCTTAACAAAAGTGTCCATAGTATTTTTTTGTAACAAGTCCAATATAATAGCTACAGATGTTTAAATGCAGAAAGTCAAGTATGCTCAATGTACCCCATAGGTGGGGTAAGTTGAGCAAGGGTATGGGGCAAGTTGGGCACTAAGAATGTCTAGGCCAAACCATGGGTTCTATGTTAACTTGAGATGAAATAAAATATGTGTTAGACAGTCAGCTTTTTGTTTATAGTCTTTTATTGACAGAACAACAAATTTGAAGAAATTTTCTTTGTATAATTAACCGAAACTAGAATCAACAAAACATGAGCATCCATATCTATCCATTACTTCCGATAATTTCTAAAAAAAGATTACCAAGGCTGGTGGGTTCTGGTTTCTGTATGGATAGCTACGATTTTTTTGTTTTTAAAACATCATCAACCATTCTTTTCCGGAAATCTTTTTTGCAATTCAGCTTGGTGGAATTTCAGCACACTCTTAGGCAAGGCGACGGACGTCTTTTTGGAGAAAAATGCCATTTGCAGCAAGAATTTTTTCAACAGTTCTCTTGTGAGAGAGGATATACTTCCCTCGGTGTTGTATAGCCCATAAATGAATCATCACCTTCATTTAATTTATTTAAAAGTCAACCAATTCAGAATTCTTTAGCGGCGGTATTCACACTTTTTCCCTCATCGTGGACAGCCTTTGCAGCATTATTTAAGTATTCAGTAGTGTAAGAACATCTTGTAGTCTTTCTCTTGTAAGTCCGCATCCAAACAAAAAATAAAAGATTCATTACTCATCAGTTGATTAAGTCGTAGAGTTAGTTGAGCTATAGTTGCTCAACTTACCCCAACCCGGAATTTTAAAAGAAAAGTAGGATTGTAAATAAATGCCTAGAATTAGACCCAAAACCTATTTACAAATCAAAAATACAATAATCTTCTGAAAGATTAACACTCTCCTGATTGAAAACAGAGAACATTTGACAAAGACAGACGAAAACTTGCGATAAACAATGTTTTTACTTTTTGGTCACAAAATAAACAAAACGCCGTGACACTTCACTCACTCGTCGAGCTGCCACTAGCTATTGTGCGATGATTACCTCTCCTACCACTCCTTCTTTTCGCTATTTGATACTCCCGCGTAAGGTGAATAGTTTCCGAGATATTTCGATTGCCCAACTTGCCCCTATGCTCAACTAGCCCCGCTCTACCCTATTCCCAGTGTCGTGGGCAACTCGTCATCAATAAGTTCATATTAACTAAGTATTTCTGCAATCAGTTCTCCGTAACA